AAATATGCCGAGTCGCCCAGAGGCCCAGCAATGACTAAAGCATGTTGTTATCCAAAGTCACGATCTAAGGTAGGTTGAGCACATCACAGTTACGCCCCACGATTTGAGAGAGTTGATAGCAAGCAGTTATGAAGAGGACGTGGTGATAGAAGTTGCACACGGTAATTATTGGTCAACCGACCATGATGAAAGAAATGGGTAGTTACAAGTAGTTTCTAAACAATTAAAATTGCTCAAGCCGTATAAAAGAAAGAGGAAGACAACGAAGACACCCCCGACAAAATTCACTCTCAAACAGAGAACATGTAATTTACTTTTCTTAGATTAACCTTTAATTACTTCAATTCCCTTTTACTTGTGTACTTGCGCCCCTTGGAGGCATCTCGTTCGTGTCCAAACTGTAATCTTCATATTCAATAAACACCCATTTTGGGATTGTGTTCCAAGAGGTTTGTCCCTTACACAATCGTCTGATCCCTTTTTAATTGTTAGCGAGCAAAAACCCGCGAAACAACTTTTTATGGACATTTACCTTTATTGTACGAGACACTAGTGATATGTTGATTACTCGGGATATGTTCTCAGAACTGTGGGAGACCCATGCTTGAACTTGTCACGACTACCTGAATGTGCAAGAACACATACACATATTTTGCTCACTAGACAAGTGTTTGTTTATTCCACAATCGAATAGCCAAGTTTTGATTATTAATTCTATACTAATTTACCTACCTAACAAACTATTCTAAAGAGCAATTTATGAAAGCTTTTGTAATACTTATATGGAATGATTACTAAGACTTTTAATCCCCTTAATTAATCTATTTTTTAATATAATTCAATAACAAGATAATATGTCCATATTCTTGTTGATCAATGTTCCTAAATTAATTAATAATCTCTCTCAAGTACAACTTAATCTATATTCTCATGTGACATTCTTATATCTCTACGAAAGATACGAACATGAAAGCATGCATTAAAAAGGGCAAAACATCTATAAAAATCATACAAAACATAAATGTATATTTTCATCCCCTATCGAACTTTACAACAATTGATATAATGTGCTATATATCACAAATAGAAATCTCAAATAATTTAATTAGTAGCTAATTGATTGAAAGTCATTAAATTTAATAACAATCATCCTAAAATAAACACATATTGGGCATTAAATTTTTGAAATTCTATTAAAATTTTCATAATACGGGTTCATCTATAACTTGACAATGAAAAATTTAGCCTAACATTATAAAATTACAAGAAATCATAATTAATTGATAAAATATCACCTGAATTATTGATGAGAGAAGAAAAGGAGGATACATATTCAGTTTTTAAATCTCTTCAACGAATTCTTGATTGCTCGAGTTACACCTTCTTCTTTGCTCAAAAATCAAGATTGAATCGTCAAATGAATGAAATCTTATAGTTGCCTCTTGATTTGCTCAAAAGAACAATAATTTGGCCTCTCTTTGATTTCAATAATGTGTGAAAAATACAATATGAGAGGTCTCCAATGTATGATTATGTTCTGTATTTTAGGGCTTGAAAATAGGTTGAAAATTCCATCAAAATTATATTTTTAAAAAAATTGTGTCGAAATAAGAAACTGCCACGAAATCCCAATTCTTTATAACACTGAGGCGCTAGGTGTATTGCCTTGAGGCGCTATACTTGTTGTCCACCACTTTTGATCATTTATTAATTTTGAGTCCTTTCTTGAAATATTTTTAATCCTTCTGCTTCCAATTGTATTCAATTGAGTACAAAAATTCTCCAATCGTCAGTATTATGTCCGAATATCTATTGAATGTATGCAAGTTAGTCCCCAAACTTTGAATTCGTCATTTTCGCCATTTTTTTCTCTTCTTTATTTCAATTTCACTTTTAATCATCGAGTTTCATTTAACAAACAAAATATAAAATAGATTAGAAAATAATTAATCAAAAGAATCCTAAATGTTTATATTTTAAGGTCTAAATAAGTGTATAAAATACATTTACATGTTCATGTAGATTTAAAGAAACTACAATTGTTAAGACTGATGCAATTTACTTTAAACAAAATACATTTACATGTCACATGTTCATGTAGATTTAAATTGCAAAAAAAGTCTTTCGCAACGTTTTAAAAAACGTTGCGAAAGACACTTTACGCAACACTTAAAAACATTGCAAAAAGGTAGTATTAGCAACATTCACTTAAAAAATGTTGACAAAGCTCAATTTTGTTAAGCAATGACAACATTCACGTATTAAAATGTTGNNCCCTTTAACAACATTTAACTACCGAATATTACATTTTATGTGTTGTAAATGATCATTTTTGGCGTAGTGAACATACCAAAATTGTTGTGGCTTGTTCTAGTGCTAAGGACCCTAGATTTGGATCTTCAAGTAGGTCTAACAATGTACAGACATTCGAAATAAAATTCGTACAGTCGAATTCAAAATTATCAAAAACAAAATTTAATTTGTCGTTCTATAGCCTCATCGTCCAAAAGATCGCTAGCTCAAATTTACTGCAATTACTTTTACTTTTGGAATAGTAATCGAACACCTTGAGTTTAACAAACTATTCTAAAGAGCAATTTATGAAAGCTTTTGTAATACTTATATGGAATGATTACTAAGACTTTGAATCCCCTTAATTAATCTATTTTTTCATACACTTCAATAACAAAACAATATGTCCATATTCTTGTTGATCAATGTTCCTAAGTTAATTAATAATCTCTCTCGAGTACAGTTTAATCTATATTCTCATGTGACATTCTTATATCTCTACGAAAGATACGAACATGAAAGCATGCATTAAAAACGGTAAAACATCTATAAAAATCATACAAAACATAAATGTATATCTTGACAACGAAAAATTTAGCCTAACATTATAAAATTACAAGAAATCATAATTAATTGATAAAATATCACCTGAATTATTGATGAGAGAAGAAAAGGAGGATAAATATTGAGGTTTTAAATCTCTTCAATGAATTCTTGATTGCTCCAGTTACACCTTCTTCTTTGCTCAAAAACCAAGATTGAATCGTCAAATGAATGAAATCTTATAGTCGCCTCTTGATTTGCTCAAAAGAACAATAATTTGGCCTCTCTTTGATTTCAATAATGTGTGAAAATATAATATGAGAGGACTCCAATGTATGGTTATGTTCTGTATTTTTAGGGCTTGAAAATAGGTTGAAAATTCTGTCAAAATTATATTTTAAAATGAATTTGTGTCAAAATAGGAAATTGCCGCGAAATCCCAATTCTGCAAAACACCGAGGCACTAGGTGTATAGAATTAAGGCGCTATACTTGTTGTCCACCGCTTTTGATCATTTATTAATTTTGAGTCCTTTCTTGAAATATTTTTAATCCTTCTTCTTCCATTTGTATTCAATTGAGTACAAACACTCTCCAATTGTCAGTATTATGTCCGAATCATCTATTGCATGTATGCAATTTAGTCCCCAAACTTTGAATTAGTCATTTTCGCCATTTTTTCTCTTTTTTATTTCAATTTCACTTTTAATCATCGAGTTTCACCTAACAAACAAAATATAAAGTAGATTAGACCATAATTAATCAAAAGAATCCTAAATACCTATATTTTAAGGTCTAAATAAGTGTATAAAATACATTTACATGTTCATGTAGATTTAAAGAAACTACAATTGGTAAGACTGATGCAATTTAGTATAACATAAAACAAGCGGGAAGAATAGACCAAAATTGTTATGGCTTGTTCTAGTGCTAAGGACCCTTGATTTGGATCTTCAAGTAGGTCTAACAATGTACAGACATTCGAAATAAAATTCGTACAGTCGAATTCAAAATTATTAAAAACAAAATTTAGTTTGTCGTTCTATAGCCTCATCGTCCAAAAGATCGCTAGCTCAGATTTACTGCAATTGCTTTTACTTTTGGAATAGTAATCGAACGCCTTGAGTTTAAAATCCATGTAACATTAATCGAAATATCTATAAAAATAATGAAAACGCTATGTCCATTATTGCCATCATTCGTGATACTTAGAATTAAAGACAATCACGTTTGTTCAATTTATTTAGTACATGCCTAGAAAGATGTTTTGTGTTTGTCTCCAACTTAGTTAAGAATGCATTAACATCATAATTAGACTGTGATAAAGTAATAATCGTGTGATTCGTATGAATTTATTGATCACTCCCAGGCATGACGTATGAAATAGAGTAGCTTCTTAAAATAAAGAACATCAAACACTAGTGAAGTTAGATTGAGTAATATATAAATTTGTAGCCAAAAGAAATCGAAAAATCGATTGAGTGGGGAGGGATTTTTGTGTTGTGAACCTCGACCACAAAGGATGCTAACATATTCGTTGCACTAATTTTATGAAAGATACTTTCCCACTAAATTATTCTAGTTAATCGTTGAGCGTCCACAAAGAAGTTATCAAAATCGAAATCCATGTCAAAGAACTAAGAAGATCATTCTTGATAAATTACAAAGCACCAACGACAAAACTTTTTTGATTACACAATACTCCTCGTGTGGGTGGTGGGAGTGACGGTGAGAGAAATGGACATGGGGTTGACTAAAATAATCCATGTGATTATTTGATAAAAATACTAACGATCTCTATTCAGTAAAGACTGTCAAATATCGAAAAATTCCATGACGAGAAAAAGTTGGTCGAAAATCTGTTTGCTTTATTCGAAGAAGTTTAAAGCCAAAAGTTCTGCAAATTGTTAGACTTCCCTTTTTTTTATTTTTCATTTTACGAAAAAGAAGAGAAAGAAACGAAGCATCCCTTGAATTGACAAATGAAGTGTGTCCCGGACAGGCCCCCACCCTACATGTTACGGTTTTGGTAGTTAGAAGTGGGTTGCATATAGTTATCATCATGACTTTTCTTCAAAGTTAAAGACAAATATAATTGATCTCAAAGATTATATATTTTTCTATTAGAATTTCCTATTTTTGATTGAAGACAAAGGTCCTATAAATTCATTTTCCAAATGTCATTCCTCCTCTTGTTATGCCCAATTCCTCTCTCGGTTAAATATAAGCAAGAGAAACATATAATATGTTGATGACTCAAAATGACGTGATCAATTTAAGCCATCTTAATAGAAAATTAGTAGAGTGATTGCTGCAATTTAAAAAATTCAAAGGATGATTTCATTGATTGAAGCTTGGAGTGCAATGAAGACTATGCATTAAGTTTACTCTGGACCATTTGTCTCATTTATAGGCCTACACCCCAAGCAATTTGACTGTCCAATGTCATGTCAGCTACAATATCGACCTAAAGATATGTGCTGCCGCCCTATTTTCAGGGCTTTCGATTGGATGTGAAGGTCAGCCAAAATTATTCATCATGAGACCTAGATTGTAGGTAATCTTTAGTGATCTCTAATTGGCTGTGAATGATGTGTTGATGTTACTGCTGTTACTTATCGCTTTCTGAATAATCGTCTAGATGGTGGTGATGTCATATAAGGGATCAAGTGTTTCAGACTGTAATGATTGTGTCTCTAAATGATGGCAGTATGGTCCGAGCTGATCTAAATTTTAATTTCTACCAAACCAATGCAATCGAATCGTTTGATTTTTTCGATTTCGAATTCGATTTCTTGTTTAAGTTCTCAAATTTACTTACTCATGCAAATGAAGTGTCTAAACTATACATGTACATAATCTATAATTATTCAATATCTAAATTCTTCATAATATATTCATTAAAACGATTTATAATTTTAAGTTTAGCTAACCGCGATAATTTACATCAAATATTAAATTATTGGCTTGAATGAGTTCTTTAAAAACATGTTCCAATATCCTTTCTATTTTCTTTATACTTTGAGGGGCAAAAAAAATATTAATTTGGAAAGGATGGAGTAATTCCGAAGTCCCTTATTAATTTTAAATTACATACGAAATACAATTGATTCTTTTGTTTGAGTTTATATATAGCAACATATTTAATTGAATGCAAATTTGATGTGCTATGATAAAATCCCTAAGAAAAAAGTACAGTGATTGGTGAATTGTACCATCACCGTTAATAATAAAGAGTAAATTTTGAATTAAAATGAGTTTTTTGATTCTTGATATTAGAATTAAGAATCGATTGATTCTCAATTTTAATACTAATTGATTCTTAATTCTAATACCAAGAATCAATTAGAATTTGAGTAGAATCGAACTGATTCAGAAGATCTCGATTTGGTTCTAGTTTGATGCAATAGTTTTAATAACTTTTGTCCACACTGATTTAAGATACACTATTTTTTTTTATTTTTTTTTGAGGTAGGAACCCGCAGCCGCTACCAGTTAGCGGAGTTCCGACCACTGTGAGTACGCACTAGGTAAACCCCGTTCCATGTGCAATAGCACACAAACCATACAGAGAGGTAAACCGTACTAGGCAAATCCGGTGCGATGAGCTCGACCGAGAAAGTATTGACAGGATTCGAACTCGTAACATTTAGTCTCCTTATTCACATGTTCCACCAACTCGACCACCCCCAAAAATGATAAGATAACACTATTTTTCTAAATGTTGCCTGGAGGTTACAACACTTTCCACTGTCTTAAATTGTGATTGGGAAATGTCTTAATTTTTAATGTTGAAATTCTGAACCTCCTCAATTTTGACTTTGACCATCTTTAAATTGGGTTCCAACTTTTCCATTTTTGACGTACGGCTAATGCACGACGCAATAGGTGGACCGGTGAATGCGCTAAAGTGGGACCCAAAAATCGATGTAATTGCATCTTGCAATGTTTGTACGTTATCCAATACGAATAAATTTCATAATTACGACCCAAATTTCTAATTAAACTATGCTCAAGTTTGACAACAATTTGTTAAACCTCTTTTTTTTTTTTTTCTTTTTTTTTCTCTCATACTCATTTTCACAATAAAAGAGATTTTCACGTAAATCCAAATTTTTCCTAATTTTTAACAATACATTCTTAGAAAATTTATTATTCAAATACTCATTCTAAATTTAAAAAAAAATGGTTGTCAAACATGGGCTAAGTCCCTTTTACAACCATTAAAATGAATTTTTTGGAGAAAATAAAGTTTTGGAATGGTGATTCTTTAAAGAATATGTGATTAAAAAATTTTAAAAAATTGAATTTACATGCATAATTAATTATTGTTGTCAAATTTGCTGTCCAACCAATTAATTATTGATACTTCATTTTACGTGTCATTAATTTGATGGATTCGTGATGAAGTTAATGAGAGTAAATTTGATATGAAAATTTTATTTAAAAATGAATAGACAGCAAAAATTGAACAGCATATTTCAACTCATATTGTAGGTGAGTCGGAGTCAAACCAAGTTGTTTTTCCTATGTGGAAAAGTGAAGAGCACTTGGGAACCAAAATTCCAACTAGGAAGTTAAAAGTGCATTCCAAATGGATTTCCTTTATGGACAATTGCCCCATTTTTGCATTACTTTAGCGTTTCTAAATTTATTTAATCTTATTCGCTCAAGAAGATGAATAACCAAATCGTTGCCACCTTCAATCCTAGGATTCAACATAATGTATCTAATGAATGTCGATAAAACATCTAGCGAGCCATCAACTTATTATGTTTTATGCTCAATCTAACATACTAAACATGCGTTAAAATTTTAGTCATCGCGTATCGAAGACTAAATTCTGAGATAAGGTTAGGCAAAAATAAAGTGAAAAAAGAAAAGAAAATGTTTGAAAAGAAGGGGCGTTGCTTTGATTGGACAACTTGTAATTCAAGCAAAGCGGCAGAATGGTTTCATATCAAACCTTGTGAACTGTGGCCCCCCAAAATGTTCTTGTTGAAGCACAAGATTCATATTGCTTTCTATTTAATTTTCCTTTATTACCCCTTACTATACAAAATGTCAAGGGTAAATTCGTCTAAAACATCAATGCAAGGGTTTGGAAAATTTCATTTTCCGCTATTACATGCTTTGATTAAGGAAACACTATTTAGGTTTTTTATGAATTGCCCCTTTGTTTCTCTCTCCTCCTCTGCCCCAATAAGTAGTGCACAATCTTCTGCCTTCTCTTCACACTCTCCACTCCAAATACACAATCCCCCCTCCAAAGTCCCTTCCCTCTAACAACAATGGCCATTTGGGATTTCTCTTGCATTTTTTGTGTAGTTGTACTCCTATTGACTTGTGTTGAAGCCAAAATTCTTGGTGTCTATACTGGCGGAGGATGGCAAACTGCCCATGCAACATTCTACGGTGGAAGCGACGCCTCAGGAACCATGGGTACACACTTATTCCGTGCCCGTACTAGATTTGTTCAATGTTAACCGATAGTACTGTATCAAATTGAGTCATAATGGTCAATATGATATTTAGCCCTTCTCCTTCTATGTTCAATGATAGTCGATACGTTTTTTGAACTAGACACTTCACTTTTTAAGTCTACAAGAACTATTCGAGATGGGTCGTGTCAGTTTATGACTAAAGTTGCAAAAATAAAAGCTTGAATCAATATAATGTATGATTAATACTGTATATGTTTTTTCACTCTTTCTCCTTTGTGGTTGCAGGTGGTGCTTGTGGGTATGGGAACTTGTATAGTCAAGGATATGGAGTGTCCACTGCAGCCTTGAGCACAGCCCTTTTCAACAATGGATTCAGCTGTGGAGCCTGTTTTGAGATCAAATGTAGAGATGATCCACAGTGGTGCCACCCGGGCAGCCCCTCCATATTCATTACAGCCACCAACTTCTGCCCACCAAACTATGCACTGCCTAATGACAACGGAGGGTGGTGCAACCCTCCACGCCCTCACTTCGACCTTGCCATGCCCATGTTCCTCAAGATCGCCGAATATCGGGCTGGCATCGTCCCCGTCTCCTTCCGCCGGTTGGCCCCTTCTCTCTCTCTCATTCATACTTTTTAAGGACGCCCAAAAAATTAAGGTTACTTTACTCAACCAAGATTTCGATGGGCTGAACAAGACAATAGACAAACATGTCACGCATTTCTTGTTGTGTTAATTTTAGTCTAATCAAGTATACCAATCATGTTGTGTAGGATGAATAATTCATTGTGGTTAAGAATAACGTTAAGTAAATTCTAGGAATATCTTTTCTCAACATAATTAAGAGGAAAGTCATGGAATGAGGTAATTTTAAACACCAATTTTGTTGTCTGTGCAGAGTGCCTTGCAAGAAGCCTGGAGGGATGAGATTCACAATCAACGGCTTTCGTTACTTCAACTTGGTTTTGATCTCCAACGTCGCGGGTGCAGGGGACATAGTAAAGGTGTGGGTCAAGGGCTCGAGGACTGGTTGGATGTCGATGAGCCGCAATTGGGGACAAAATTGGCAGTCGAATGTCGTTTTGGTTGGCCAATCCCTTTCTTTCAGAGTTAAAGGTAGTGATCATCGTACTTCCACCTCGTGGAACATCGTACCTTCTCATTGGCAGTTTGGTCAAACCTTTGCTGGAAAAAACTTCCGAGTTTAATGGGATTTTCTTCTATTTTTTGCTTAAGTTTTCTTTTTTATTTGTAATTTCCGAAAAGGGAAATTTGAGTGTGTGGAAAAGGAAAGGAGAGGGAAAAAGGGAGAAAGTTTAGGAGTGTGTTTGTGTGTGTCTTTTAACTTTTTTGACTTACTGGAAGGGGTGGGGTGGGGGTGCAGAAGCTTGAAGTGGCTGCAAAATGATGCAACCCTCGGCTTACTATCTTCTCATATACTATGAATTATACTTGAAACCTTTTTGGTCATGTTTATGCAATGGATGTTAGATCTCGTGTCTTCGACAATCCTTTCTTTTTTTTTTTCCTTGGTTCTTTTCAGCCGCTAATTCGATTCATTTCAAATGAAATGTTGGCCGATCATTCTTTCAAGGTGTTTGAGTGAGTGAATATGATTCTACGAAATTAAAGATTAAAATAACGCGAAGTTAAGGCACCAATTTTAAATATTCTTGACTAAGTCGAAATTGTTTAAAAAGGAAAAATTCAAAAGGCATCTATTCCAATATGTAAAGTATTATCTTATTAAAACCATGTTTTACATAATTGATTTAACATGAATAATGAGTACAAAAATAATTTCTTCTATTTCTTATCCTTCCCTCACGTCTTTTTTCATATATATATATATATATATATACTAGGTGCAAGCAACGTGCAATGCACGTTTGTTTAGTTTATCTTTAATATTTTTTGTTTAATAATTAATTTGTTATTAATAA